ACCAACACTGGTGGAATGGAGGAAAAACGGTAAATAAAGCTTGGATGGCAGTTTGGTTTGCTGTGGTGTGGACTCTCTAGCTAGGTAGAAATGACAAGGTGTTTCAGGATATTGAGGCCAGCGCAAATAAGTATTTGATTTGATTCAAATTAGATCACTGCATTGGGTGAAAGGGAAAGTAGGATTGGATAATGTCGATTTAACAGATTGGAAAAGCAATCCTATAAGGAGTCTGAAACATGGGAGGGCCAACTTTTGAGGAAAATGTTTGGATATGTACTGTTAGCAAGTATATCCATAATATTTAGTGTATAAGGGTAGGAGTACCCTTGTACTCCAAAAATAATAATAAAAATGAATTATCTTTGCCTTTCAAAAAAATAAAATAAAATAAAATAAAAGTAATATACAATAATAAAATTTAATAAATATGTTAAAAAAACTATTTTTTAAGTTAATAAGTTGAATCGGTTAACTCGATCGATTCAACCAGACTCGGTGGTCAAATCGGGTCAACCACTGGGCCAAGCCTAAAAACATTGCACTTAATGACATGTAAAAATTATATAAGAAAATGGTACAAAAGATTTAGATTGAAGTTTTTTCTTCTCTTTTTTTATATTTTTAGTTAGGGTGTTTTTATATCAAGTTTTATATATTTTAAAATCAAATTTTTTTAAATAATTTTAAAGATACACTCTTTGCATTAACTTAATATATTTAAAAAATAAATTTTTAAATATTAACTTTAAAATTCAAATTTTAAGTTTAATCTATAAAATAGTATTTATTTACTAATAAATACCACTCAGAAGTTAAAGTGCACCCAAAGCTGAGTGTTGGAAGTGACTTGGAACACCACACCTCCTTCAAGCCAAAGACAAATTACGCTTCTGAGCGTTATGCGTTTCTAATCCCCCTCCGCCTGACACGTGCCCACCAAAAATACAAACCCAAGACAGCACCATTTCTCCATACTTGGCAAGTTCCGTCTCCACCGACTCCCTTCTTAACTTGCCAAAATTCTGTCTATCCACCTACCCCCAACTCCAACACAACATTTATATTTTTGCTCCTTCCACACCATTCTTTTTTTTATGTATTTTTCCACAACAGTTGTACCTTTGGAAAGTTGGAATATATAATTTTTTTCTTGAATAAACCATATAGGTAATATTTTAGATAGAAAAAGGATACGTGCACTATTTTATTTTATATTAAAATCTCACAATACCATGATCATTGTAATTGTATTAATTTTTTTTATTGAGGACGTGAATATTAAGACGGTATTAGTTTAAATTATTTAGGGATTAAAAAATTTTGATTAACAATTTAGGGGTTTGGTTTTTAGATGCAAATTAAAAAAAAAAATTATCTAATTAAATGTTACATTAATTTCAATGATTAATAGGATACTATTTTGATGGGGAAAAAAAGGATGCTAATTTATTTTAATTGTTTACTAAACTCTAATTTTTGTCTTTGATTTGAGACCCTCATATACATTTTTTTATATATAATTAATCAAGTTGCCGATGGAGCATCAATAAAAAGTGAGCGGTTTTTAAAATGCTGTTAATTAAGCTCATATATTACTTTCGATACATTAGTTATTTAGATGATACATTAGTTATTTAGATGACCAATGTTATAGATGATGCTAATAACTCATTTTAAGATAGGGACGACTCGATATTGTTGTTCATTGCTCAAGGGTAATTTGAATATCTATTTGTGTTCCGTATGAATTAAATGATTTTATTTTGGAGATATGTTAAGATTTTTTTTTTTTTTTTTTGTTTTACTTAGAAAGCACTCTTGCAATCCTATCCCACAAGAAAACAAGAAGTACACACCTATTTCTTAGCTAGAAAGAACTAAAACATGAAGTATTCTAACAATTTTTAAAAAAAAATTAAAAAATTATGTTATTCTTAAATTAACTTACATCTATCTCAAAATTATTCTTTTCCTACATAATGTTAAGGGCAACATCACATAGAACATACTCTAATAATTACATAAAAAATTATTTTATAATTTAATACATTTGAATTATAAAACAACACATTCAAATTAAAAATTATAATTATTATAAAATAATATGTAAAGGATATTCTTTTTGATTTATTAAAACTAATTAATAATTTTTAATTTTACTTATATAAATTATTTATTTTAAATTATAAATATTAATAATTATCGATCATTACAAATTGTTATCAATTGTTACAAAAAAAAACCTAAGCCATACATACTAGTCATCATTATCAAGCAACCTGGAAGTAGCGTTTATTTTTTCTCTGTGACGTAAGTACCCTCAATGTTTTGCCCAAATGGCAAACAAGTCCCAGAAAGCTAAGAGATACACAGTGCCACTGCCAGCGAATTCACAGGTGTTGGCGGAGAGCGGCAACTTGCGAGCCTCCGGAGGGAAACGAGAAAGCCAATGGAGAGTAACCGTGCGTGACGTGAGCCCTCGCGCCACTGTCCACCACGTGTGCCTTCTCCTCTCTGTTGTCAATATAAAACCCACCCCTACTCTTCTTCACACACTCGTCCCTAGTCCTCTCTCTCTAGTCTCTCCTCTCTCAATCTCTGCTCAAATTTTCTGTTTTTCTGTCTCTCAAACTCATCTCTCTTCTTTCCCTGCAGGAGTTTCTCGGTTTCTGCTCTGATCAGACTCAGTGTAAGTCTACCTGGGTCTGTCACCTTTCTGTGATTTTCTTATCTATCCTGTTTGGTTGATTTTCTGCTTTCAGGATTGTCTTTTTCACTCATATTTCATTGTCTTCTTTGTTAATTTCAATTGGGTTTTTGTTGATATTTGAATTTTTTTGTAACTCTCTTTTGGTTTGTGCTTGTTTTCTTGACATGGGCCCAACGAGTTTTTAGCAGATTGAGGTTCTGATTTTAATTTGTTGATTATTTGTAATTTTTTGTTCCTTTGGTTTGACAGAGAAGAAAAAGGAGGTTGCTTTTTGGTTCGCTCTGTCGCGTTCCTGAAATGGGAGAAGCAAGCGGTAAACAGAACATGGGTGGAGATGAACAGACAAACGGAAACCAGGACAGGGTTGGAGATGTAGATATCGCGTCCGTTGAAGACAACGAACTCCTTTTGAGGATGTTAGTCTCGGGACTGCCTCAACCGCTCAATCCGGTTGAAAATTCGAAGCCACTGGACCTCAGTCTGAGGCTCTCCGTCGGCGGAGCTTGCGAAGGAAACCAAAATGAGACGGCTATGAAACGATCATCGTCGCTTTTCCCGGAAATCAACCTTAAACAAGATTGCGGAAAGGCTGGACTGCCGAAGGACTTCCTTTCACTGGCAAGGTGTTCCTCACTGCCGGTAGATTTAGAGCTTGGGAAGAGAGAGTTTGATGTGAAGGATCTGCAGATAGGGACGAGAGATAAGGGGAAGAATGTTGTGATGGAGAAGGAGAACATTTCCACCAAGGGTAAGCAGGAGGAGGTACCCGGGAAAATGCCAACTTCTCCGTCCAAAGTTGCGGCTTGGGCAGCTGCTTCAGCTGCTCGAAACCCAGCACTGAACCGTGCCCTTGCAAAGATCAAGGAAGGCTTCAGAAAACAGAAAGGTATTTTCCTTTTATGTCTTTTTTAACTTTTCTTTGACTGCGTGCTTGTTTCTTATGCAGTTTTAAGTGAAATGCGATTTTGTGTTGGATGAGATGAAGGTAGAGTGATTGGATATCTGTAAAATATGTTACTATGCTTGTTTGTCGTCAAGAACTTTTAATTTCAATTAATTATGTTGTTTGTTTGACGATAAGTGTTTTGCCCTTTTGAAATCTATATTATTTGGTTGAGATAGACAGCTATAGGATTGGTTCTTTTAATTAATGGAACAATGCAACTTAGACTTGACATTGGGGTTTATGCAATCATCTTAGTTAGGATTCTAGCTTGTCTTCTTATGAGGAAATCAATGAAATAATAGTATAGGCATTCTTTATATCATTTATTTTTAATAACTTCAGGTTAACTGGCATAGAGTCTCATTCAGGAAGAAAGAAACAAAGAAAGAATGTAGTGAAAGATGGGATTAGGTCAAGGTAATTCACGTAGATTGTCATGTGATGTTGTATCGGAATCTTCATTTTGTTAATGGCAAAACGAACAAATGGTAGATTTGATTCCCAAGCCAACAGGAAATAAAAAAAGTATGATAAGAATGATTGAAGAACCTTCATTTTATTGAAAAAAGAGCATGAAATGAATCTTGATTTCTTTAAAAAGCTGATAAACAACAAGAATGAATGTGAATCCTACTAGTTATCCACAGAAAAAGAAATTGATAATACGTAAGCTAAGTAGGACATGAACCATACCACGTGTTGATGAATAATTAATAACTTGTCTTCATTGTTGGATCTTAACATCCAAATTACATAAGTTTAACTCATGTCTTGTTCATAATGGGCATAAAATGAGGTGACGTCATAAGAATGACAATTGGATTCCAGGTGTTATATCATGAATTTGATGAACTCTTTCCTTTCAAAGGAAAATAGTCTGTTCTTACTGAAAGGGATAGTGTTTGCATTTGCATCTAAATACTTAGATCATTAATGATGATTATCTCATAACAAATTGATTGTAGTAAAAGATAGGAAGCTGACGTAGATAGTTTCAGAATGTTCGTATCTGTAACGTGCATACTTTGTGTGTATTGTTGTGATTCTTACCTACCATATATTTTAGGCTACACAGCATGTCAAAATTCAGTTATTGTCCGGTGCAATCAATTTAACTAACATAAAAGGCTTTCACACTTTAAGTCGCTTCAACATTATCTTCTTTCTCTGTTGTCTATCAATTTATCTCTGTATTTGGGGTACATAGTGTTATCTTTTTTGACTTCCATCCTAAATGGAATGCTTTATTAGTAGATTTCTTTTGTTTTGTTGTCATATCCTTTTTTAGGTTTACAAAAGTTTGAAATGAAGAAGTTTTTGAAATGAAGAAGTTTTATTAAGCAAAAAGATTACAAAAAAGATATAGTGATTTAGAGAAAAGATGAAGCTTAATGTAAGGGAATCTTCCTCTTCAGATTTGATGATTAAATACAATTCTTCTGTTGCTTTTTGAGTCTTTGAGATGTTGTTTAAGGATTCAAAAGAAGGTTATACAGATAGGTATTAGTTTTGCCAAAGTAAAATGATGGAGGTTGTTGAAGTGCAGAAGAGAAAAATTAGAACTTTTCCTTTTGTAGGGTTGAATCTGTCAACATACATAGGCCTACTACTGTCACAGGTAGATAGTAAGTAGCTATATTAATGTCTCTGTCTCCTTGGATGACATGAAGAACTCAAAAACTAGGTTCTTCTTCAAGTTTAATTATTCATTCATTATGTGATTATGTTCCTCTGGGTATGCACTATAGCATATAGGTATATTTATTGATTGTCAATTCAAGTTTACATGTTCAGTGAATTCAGAACTCCTGATTATGACCACTAAATTGAATGCAGTATGAACTATTTCCTTTTCCATGTACAATTTTTCTCCTCTCATCAAGAATAAAACACTCTGTTACATTGAAATGTTTGTGTCTTAGAGGATGTTTCTGTTCCTTTCAGCATGGATTATGTTTGATCTCATAATCTCAGTTTTCATTCTCAAACCAAAATCTGTTTTAAGTTTTACAGATGAGTTTCTATGAGAATTAAGCGCGGTTGGCAAATTGACTGAAATTTTGTTTATGGACTAATATTGATTGGAATAGGAATGTAGGGTGTGGAGATGTTATGGGATCTATTGTCCTGAAACACTTTCTCATGCTCCAAGGATGCTGTGTTACCTCTATAAGCAGATAGCATAAGTAGCTTGGTAGATAGGTAGCATCTCCTCTTCATTTGCCTAATCACTTAATTTATTGCAGAGCGAAAATCTCAGGCTGCATCAAAGTCTAAGGCTTCGATCACCAGGTCTTTCTCTGAGCCCCAAAGGAAACTGGAAATGGTGGCAGAATCATCTCAGCGCAAAAGGAAATTGGAAACGGAGGTGGAATCATTGAAGAAACCCAATGGAAAATCTATCATGCTGCCAACTGAAAGCAAGGTAGGGAATCCACCTAAGAGGGCAAAGGTATCTGACAATGCAGACAAAGATATTGGCATGGAGATCATGAAGAGTATGCCTAGTGTGACAACAACCGGCCCAACTGGGAGGAGGGTGGAGGGATTCCTCTACAGGTACTTGCAAGGTCAAGTGAAAATCGTTTGCCTATGCCATGGCAGCTTTCTCTCCCCTGAAGAATTTGTCAAGCATGCTGGTGGGATTGACATACTCAATCCTATGAAGCATATTAGCGTTATTCAAAACTCATTTACCTGTTAGATGGATAGAGGTGACTCTGGCACCCTTCCAGAAGACGGTAAAGCAAAAAACGCTGATCACTTCGTCCTTTTTCTTACACCCTTCCTGAAGACAGGAAAGCAAAAAACTCTGCGAAGTTAGCTTTTTCTTCTTTTTCCTTTGTAAAAGGGGGAAGTTCCATTTGAATATGGGGGCTTCCTTTGCTTCTGCTTCCTCTAGAACACAGTTACAACTTTCATAGAACACAGTTAAAACTTTCATTCTAATAAAAGTACAGGATAATGGGGTTAATAAAGTTTGTTTTTTCTTGTACATTCTTGTTCTGTTTAAATGAACAGGATGGGGGAGAATCCAATTGCATGCAGGTTCTCTCATTTTGCTTTTTCTTTATCTTCTATTTTCTGAAGATTATCTCTTAAGTAATGATGCAGGTAAGTTTAAGTCTTCTATAAGTAGTTCAAATCAAAGGTTGCAAATGATATTGCGACATTTAGTAGGCATAACATGCAGAATTGCAGATTACCTCTTCAACTTGTGCAGTGGCAGCAAAAGTTACTTCCCAAAAAGCCCTTGATGCTATCAGTCCGTTAACTTCCCAGCAAAAGTTAGTTGGCATTTTCGTGGGCCCTAGTGATGACTTGGGATTTTTTTAAGTGATAATATATTTTTTAATCAATTAATAATATTATATATTTAGGTGGCATTTTTATAAAAATAATAATATTTTTTATTTTAATTAATAATAATGTATTTTACTCAAATAGTTTTTGTAAATCACATTTTTAAATTTAATATCATTTTATACAAACTAATATTTTATATATTTAATTTTCAAATAAAATATTTAACTAAACACCCCTTGTTCAATATATAAAGTTTTTTATAAAATCATGCTAATATTATTTTATTTGACATATTTTTTATATTCAAATTAAACAAATTCTAATTTTTTTTTTTTAAACAAAGTGTTATGGGTGGAATTCAAACTTCGAACTTAAGAAAAAAGGGGACTACACCTTTAAGGTGATCTAAAAGTCGCTTGACTCAAAGGATCAAGTACAAACAAACAAACAAATTCTAATTTAAAATTGAAATAAGGAAAAAGTTTCATCCAATGGCAAAATACCACTGAACGAAACCTTAGCTACAGCGGTCGGACACTGTAGTGCCTTTTATTTTTTTCCCTCTTTCCGGCGTATTTAACTTTTTTCCCTTTATCCATTCCTAATTATTAAAAAAATTATTTATTACAATGATAAACAACTGAACAAGTTGTAAGGACAGGTCCGAGGTACCAAGACTCGGACTGCTACAGTAACTCCTCTATGGCCGAAGTGCAGAATAAACCCAAAGCTTCCCGCTCAAATAGATGCATGGCAATGACAATAAGCATGCCCGCACCTGATTCCTTA